TTATTGCACAGTCTGACCTTCAGGGTGAGGACTGTCAGCTGTGTTTTGTGTACTCTTTTGTTAGTTTTACATGTTTTGGATCCTCGTTGTTCTTTAAATGTTAGTTTGAGCTCAAATAAAATAAATTTAAAAAATAAATAAATGTTATTAAAGCAGCAGCAGGAGGCTGGTGAGGCAGCAGCCATCTGCTCGTCCTCCCAGAGAAACGGGATATTTTTACCAGCAGGAGCTGAGAAGCCATCAAACACCTGCCTGTTAGCAGTGTTAGCAAAGTTAGCAGAGTTAGTAGTGTTAGCAGAGTTAGCAGTGTTAGCAGAGTTAGCAGTGTTAGCAGAGGTAGTAGTGTTAGCAAAGTTAGCAGAGTTAGTAGAGTTAGCAGAGTTAGCAGTGTTAGTAGTGTTAGCAGAGTTAGCAGTGTTAGCAGAGGTAGTAGTGTTAGCAAAGTTAGCAGAGTTAGTAGAGTTAGCAGAGTTAGCAGTGTTAGTAGTGTTAGCAGTGTTAGCAGAGTTAGTAGTGTTAGTAGTTAGTAGTGTTAGCAAAGTTAGCAGAGTTAGTAGTGTTAGTAGTGTTAGCGAAGTTAGCAGAGTTAGTAGTGTTAGCAGTTAGTAGTGTTAGCAAAGTTAGCAGAGTTAGTAGTATTAGTAGTGTTAGCGAAGTTAGCAGAGTTAGTAATGTTAGCAGAGTTAGTAGTGTTAGCAAAGTTAGCAGAGTTAGCAGTGTTAGTAGAGTTAGTAGTGTTAGCAAAGTTAGCAGAGTTAGTAGTGTTAGTAGTGTTAGCGAAGTTAGCAGAGTTAGTAGTGTTAACAGTTAGTAGTGTTAGCAAAGTTAGCAGAGTTAGTAGTGTTAGTAGTGTTAGCGAAGTTAGCAGAGTGAGTAATGTTAGCAGAGTTAGCAGTGTTAGCAGAGTTAGTAGTGTTAGCAGTGTTAGCAGAGTTAGTAATGTTAGCAGAGTTAGCAGTGTTAGCAGAGTTAGTAATGTTAGCAGAGTTAGCAGTGTTAGCAGAGTTAGTAGTGTTAGCAGAGTTAGTAATGTTAGCAGAGTTAGCAGAGTTAGTAGTGTTAGCAGAGTTAGTAATGTTAGCAGAGTTAGCAGTGTTAGAGTTAGTAATGTTTGCAGAGTTAGCAGTGTGAGCAGAGTTAGTAGTGTTAGCAAAGTTAGCAGAGTTAGTAGTGTTAGTAGTGTTAGCGAAGTTAGCAGAGTTAGTAGTGTTAGCAGAGTTAGCAGTGTTAGCAGAGTTAGTAATGTTTGCAGAGTTAGCAGTGTTAGCAGCGTAACTGTTTGCTTTTGTCACAGGATGATGATGTCACAACAAAAGTCAAGCACCAACAGTAAAGGATGTGTTCTTTCTGAAATACATAAGTGTAAACTTTAACATTTAGCCACAGCATTTAGGATTTAACTTTTACATTTGAATTTATACATTTAGATAAAGGATTTAACATTTAAATGTAACATTTAGTAAAAATAAGCAACATCTAAGAACAGTGATCTAAATAATAAAATATTTTGGTGACATTTTTTATATTAGATTTTAAACTTGGCATCTCGTAAGGCAGGACTCCGGTGTGGACCGTACAGAACCCTCTGTTTTCAGACACCTCAGCGTTTGTGTAAAGGTGTTTGACAGAATCGGTCCTGCGAGCCTTCGGCTGAGTGCTGCCAGCGTGTTTACATTCAGGCCAGCCGAGGATGATGGATCACAGCTCGTGTCCCGGTACCGAGCCCAGTCTGCTTCCCTCTGACCATGAAAGGTTTGCCCCGCGCTGCCGCTCGTCTTCACGATTAATGGCCGCCGTGCCGAGCCTTCTCTGCCCTCTCTGACGTCTCTGGGTTTTTGAACAACTTCCAGGACATTTTTACAGACTGGATCCGACGGACCAGAACCCAGTGGCATCAGTTTCCAATACAAACATCTGCAGAGAGACAGAGAGGACACATCAGTCAAACACTGACTGTAAACCTCAGAGAAGGTCCTGCAGAGACTCAGGAGCCTCTGACACCTTTAATCCTCTCTGCAGTTCTACAAAACCAGCCTGGGGTTTGGGTCTGACAGGTTTTCATCAGTCTGGGTCCAAGATCTGGTCTGGGTCCAACAATCCAGAAAGTCCACCAGTGTCCCTGTCTACCAGTGTTCTCATCCAATAGAGCCCCTGTCCAACAGAGTCCCTGTCTACCAGAGTCCCTGTCCACCAGTGTCCCTGTCTACCAGAGTCCCTGTCNTGATGTCATTAAGATTTTAGAGAAGCAACAAGACACAAGAAATACAGGAAGTTAAATATTCATCCGTCCATCCATCCATCCATCATCCATCCATCCAGCCATCATCCATCCATCATCCATCCATCCATCCGTCCATCTATCCATCCATCCATCCATCATCCATCCATCATCCATCATCCATCCATCCATCCATCCATCCTCAATCCATCCATCCTCAATCCATCCATCATCCATCCATCATCCATTCATCGATCCATCCATCATCCACCATCCATCCGTCATCCAACATCCATCCATCCATCCATCCATCCATCCATCCATCCATCCATCCATCCATCCATCCAGCAGCAGGTTATCACCCATCAGCTTCAGGTTGTTGTTGTGTGAATATATATTTTGTGTTACTGATTTTATGACTCTAGGATTCTTTGATCTATTTTGACTTTAAGACAGTAAACCTGTGATTTTCTCTCTGAACATGTCTGTCAGACGGTCCCAGTCGTCCTGGATCCTGTTAGATCTGAGTCTGTTGGTGTTCAGAGGAGGTTTTTACTCCGTTGCCTCCTGCTGGTGGATCAGGTTTAAATTCTTTAAATCTACAAACTGACTATAATCAGTCATAATTTAAATATTTTCTAACAAACATGTTGCCAGGGGCTCTGTACAAATATGATCAACACAAATCCTGAGAACCAACAGAACCAGGACCTGGTTCTGAGGTCCACTGAAGTCCAGATGAGTTGAGTCTAAAAACTGTTTTCAGCTAAATAATAAACATAAAGAAGGACAGATTGTTTTGTGTCGACTGGTCTCCTRCTCTGTTCTTGGACGGAGGGTCTCACACTGCGCAGGCTGGACTGGCCCCCCCGTCCCCCCTTTGACAGAGTCCAGCTATTCTTCTGTCTCAAAAGCTCTGTTGGACGTCTCCACTTCAGCTCTGAGTTTGTGTCAGAAGAGCTGCTCGTGTCTCCGGGACGTCTTAATTCCACCAACAGTTCTCAGCATCAAACAGCCGAAGCTCGGCTCATATATGAGTCAAAGAAAAACAGGGTAAACAGAACATTATCTAAAAGCTAGAAGCATCTAATGGCTAGTGAAATAAAAGCCGAACTKTAGTAAAAGAAGGTAGGTAGGTAAAAGAAGCCAGAAGTTATCTAAAAATAAAAGCAGAATAAGGGCGGAAACAGCAAAACCTTAGTTACTGGTAGCAAAAGCACAGCTAAAAGTAGTAAAGGCTAGCTAAAATTATTAAAAGCTAGCTAAGCATCAAAAGTCTAGCTAAGACTATCAAATGTTGGCTAAAAATGTCAAAACCCTAACCAAACGGATCAATATCCAAGTTAAAAAAATTTATATTGTTAGCTAAAATTATTCAAATTCTAGCTAAACATAGCAAAAGCCTGGCTAAAAGTGTCAAAAGCCTGGCTAAAAGTATCAAAAACCTAGCTAAAAGTATCAAAAACCTAGCTAAAAGTATCAAAAGGTTGGCTCAAAGTATCAAAAGCTTGGTTAAAAGTATCAAAAGCCTGGCTAAAAGTATCAAAAGCCNTCCACCAGTGTCCCTGTCTACCAGAGTCCCTGTCTACCAGAGTCCCTGTCTACCAGTGTCCCTGTCTACCAGAGTCCTAATCCACCAGTGTCCCTGTCTACCAGAGTCCCTGTCTACCAGTGTCCCTGTCTACCAGAGTCCTAATCCACCAGTGTCCCTGTCTACCAGAGTCCCTGTCCCAAGTGGTTGTCCACCAGTGAATACCATCTTCATGGTCTGAGAGGGCCAAGAAAGACCTGGACCTGGTTTGGACCCAGGTTTAGAACCAGTCTGGACCCGGGTTTGGAGCCAATCTGGACCCATTCCTCCTGAGTACCTGTCTGTAGAAAAGCCCTTCAGAACCATCAGGTCCTCCTGTTGGATCCAGAACAGGTGGACCCCTCTGAGTCAACACCAGCAGCTGGACCGTGGTCCTGCTGAGGACCAGAACCACCAACAGAACCCACTCACCATCTGAACACTGACTTCTATCTGAGCTTCAGACCAGTCTTTGAGTCCAGCCTGTCTATTAGAAGTGGGTCAGTGTGTCCACCCAGAACCAGCCTGATCAGAACCTCAGGAGGTTTTGCTCTCCGTTGTCCCGGTTCAGTCGGGTCGAGGAGCCAACGAGTCCAGAAGATGATTTAAGATCTGAGGTGACACCRAGGAGGGGGGGGTGGGGAGTCTGGTCCGGTCCAAACAAAGCTTCCTGGGTACAGAGAGCTGGAGACCCGCTCCAGGAATAGCTCAGGTCTCAGTCAGAGCCTTATAAAGCCCGGTACAGAGTCCAGATGCCAGGGACTGAGCCGTGTCTGGTTCTGAGGGTCCAGAGATGAGCTGAGATACTGAGGAGGGTTTACAGGTTCTGTGTCCCGGTTCAGGTTCTGACAGGTTCTGTGTCCCTGTTCAGGTTCTGACAGGTTCTGTGTCCCTGTTCAGGTTCTGACAGGTTCTGTGTCCTGGTTCAGGTTCTGACAGGTTCTGTGTCCCGGTTCAGGTTCTGACAGGTTCTGTGTCACCTGTGAGGACTTCAAACCAACAACAAACAAAATATATTTTAACTTTAATCAAGTATTTTAACCAATAAATAAACWTTAATACATGAAAATAATATGTGAAAATACACATTATTACATGCAAAATATTCATAAAACATGTAAAATACACAAATACATGTAAATATACAATAATACAAGTAAAAACATGTAAATACACAATACATGTAAATATATGTAAAATACACATTATTACATGCAAAATATTCATAAACACATGTAAAACACACAATAATACATGTAAATAAAAGTGAAATACTCATTAATATATGTAAGTACACAATAATACATGTAAAACACACATAAATCATGCACCTTCAGTGTCAAACAGCAGCACAGCTGCTAAAAGGATCTATAATGATTTTTATCTATGAAAGTTTTATTTTGTGCTGAAAAATGTTCGTTTGAACAGAAACGTTTCTCTGTGTTTAAATCAGATGTAGGAGGGACTCAGCTCAGTGAAGTGTCTCATTGTCCCAACGTCCAGCTGGACAAACACCGTCCCACCGGAGTGTGGGGGTCACCTCGGTGGGTCCATTCTCTGTTGTTCACCTGGGGCCAGATAAAGGGTTAAGAAGGGCCATGTCTGGCCCGTGAGCCTTAAGTTGGACAAATAATATAAATAATGAAAATAAAACCTGAAYAGATCCTCTGTGTGGCATCGAGGGGCAACAACAGTGGTTATCTTAATGAGGATGGTTCTGGTTCCTCGTCAGCCGGAACAGGAGTCGGATTCTGACCCAGGAGGTTGGCCCGGCCCGGCCCAGATAAACAGAACCAGGGAAACAAAGTGTTCAAGGTGATCCGGGCCGAYGTGGGAGAGCAGCTCAGTATCTGTCAAACTGGGCCCTCCAAGGTCGTCTGGGTTGGGATCCAACAGGAAGTCGGAGGTTCTGCAGGTCGGGTCGATCGGACCTGAAGCTTTCCTGTTTGTGTTKCAGGCAGAAGCTGGTTTTTAATTAGATGGACCGGTTCTGGTTCTGCTCTGTAATCTGATGTCWTTACCGGGTCGCAGCCGTGATTAATGACATCACCACTGCCACGCCGAGACAAACGAGTGAGTTCTTCATGTTGGTTCTGCTCAGATCCTTTAACTCAGTCTGAGTCCAGTTCTGCAGAACCATCGACCCAAAACAGCTGAAGGTTTCCATCATGTGAGGATTATAAAGAATTTACACAAACATCACGGCAAATAAAAGACGTTTTTACATTTTTTTCCTCTTGTTTACAAAAAATCTGCACAAAAAAAGTTCAACTGATGATGAAAAACAACTTAAAATGCAGAAAAAAGATGAAGAATTAAATTTAAATCAAAATGTAATAAATCTAAACGTCTATAAAAAGAAGCTGTAGAGGCTTTAGACGAGTTACTGATGTTAAAAACAGCCAAAACAGCAACTGAACTAAAAAAAAACTCTAGCTAAAAATGAAGCTAATCCACTAAAGTGGATTCCAATGAGCTGAAAGTTTAAAGAATTTGAAAGGTTTTGATGAATTTTAAAGAAAAAAAGTAAAAAATAAAATAAAACTAAATATTTCTAAAAGACGTTTTGAAAGGAGAACAGCTGAAGTAACAAAGTCTGACATTATTAGTAATAAAAACAGGAAAACAGTTAAATATTTATTGTTGAACCTGATCCAGAGTTCCTCAGATGGGTCGGGTTTCAAATCAAAGGTCTGGATTTACTGGTCCATCTACATCACGTGTCAAACTTAAGGCCCGTGGGCCATGTGTGGCCCACCACTTTATTTTAAATGGCCTCTGAGAGCTTCAAAGATGTATTAATGTCTTAAAATAAGCTTCTTTAAAGMCTTTAACTACATCTCCCATAATGCATCTTGATMATTTTACCTGCAAAATGACCCCACCCCACCAGCAGGTGGCGCTGCACAGGGTTCAAAAGTTGCCACTAGTCGTCATAATTACGCCGCATTTTCACCCTCTACTTTTACTGTGGCCCAGCTGTACTGGGAAGTGGGAATTTCCCCACATACAAGTCGTAAATTTAAACTGGAAGGCCCTTCCAGTGGAAATTCCCTGTTGGAAAGTGGGAGAGTTCAGAATTCAAGATGGCAGCTACTCTTACTCTCTTACTTTTATTTTAAGTAA